ACGATACAATGGACACAAACAAGATGAGGGGCGACGTAAAGCCAGAAGAAACGGCGGGAGATGATACAGTGGACACAAACGAGACTGGGGGGGACGTAAAGCCAGACGAAACAGAGGCAGACGGTACAATCGACACAAACAAGATGAGGGGCGACATAAAGCCGGAAGAAACGGAGGGAGATGATACAGTGGACACAAACGAGACTGGGGGCGACATAAAGCCAGATGAAACAGAGGCAGATGATATAATGGACACAAATGAGACTGGGGGTGACGTAAAGCCAGAAGGAACAGAGGGAGATAATGCAATGGATGACACAAAGGAAACTGAGGAAGCAACAGAAACAATACTAAGGGAGTTGAACCACGAAATGCCAGAGATGGAGCCTTACGTACACGAGCAAGTGGAGGCTAGAAATGCAGAGCATACTGAGGTGGAGACTGAAAATCTGGTTGAGGCAAGAAAAACATCTCACCACAACCAGGTGGCAGCATGTGATCTACTGTAGTGTCAGTTTTATTTGTGTTCAGCTGTTGCCTTAATATGAAGCGCATTTTGCACTATTTGCCTACCCATCCTCTTTAATTAACCCCTAAGTTTCATTGTGTATACAAATACAAATTGTTTATTTATGAATAAACCATTTTAGGAGAGATCGCAGAGATCATATTTTTGGTTAGTGTTGCACAACCAACAAAACGTTGTTTTACTGGATGTCTTTTTTTTTAAAATAACTTGATGTTAAAATCTTATGTAAATGACTTCTTGCTATACCTCTTCACTTATTCAGTTGTGTGCAATTTGTAAAATGTGGGTCACAGATGTTACATATACATTGCTGTAGCTGTCGGCCCACAAAAACCTGTGTTTAATTGGAGGGTTTTTTTACATCCTTGTCAACTGTGTTCATTTGTGGAAATTAATTTCTCAAGAAAATAGTTCAGTGTCACATTTACTTTAGTAACTGAAATACTGATTTACTGTTATGTGTGATATGCTGCAAATCAGCCTCGAGTTACAACGTGACACGTTTAAAATCTACTCGACTATGCAACATGTTCACTAGCAATCAGTTTAGAAACAGCATCTTATACTGAGGTTTCTCAGCCGTTATTGTTTCATTCATAAAAATGTGACAGGCCGTTTTTCACAGCAGACACAGACCTGTCACAATAGGAAAATCAAATGTGCTAATAACATTAGAAATGGCTCTGTTGTATTCACATGTCTCAGTAAGTTGTGACAGTGAGACTGAAACTGAAGGAGCTAAATGGAGTTCAGCCATAATTAATTTGACTGTTTAAACCCTTTGTTTTTGTCGCTGTCGCACGTCGAAAATGTTTTCTCTGAAAAAGGCCTGTTAAATTTACTTTGTAAATAATTTCCAGATACACATTAACTTGTTGATTCCGTCATAATTTCACTGTTGTGTTGTTTGTGGGTGTTGTGTTGAATTACCCTTTGATAAAATATTTTTTTATTGATTAAAAAATACTTTTTTTTTTTTTTTTTTTTTACAGCTATTGCCAAATGGAGTAAAATAAAATTTGTTTACATGTTCAAAAAATGTTGTTTTTGTAAAAATATGTTGGGTAAAAATGTAATCCACTCCTGCCAATATTAGCAAGATAAATATATTCATAATAACACAACTAATATATTTGTGATAGCATCACATATTTGTCAAAAAAGCAATAGAATTTGTCCTGATTTATTTTAAAGTGAGTCGTTATTGGGTACGTTTTTATGGACACTTGTCAGTGTTCTTTTTTACTGTTTTTTAAATGGAAGTATTTTAGACAGCTATATTAAGCTGTTAACCAAAATATGTTCAGATAACTGCATTTGATTAATAGAGCTCTCTAAATAAAGTTACAGTGTTGATGCATTATTTCACAGATGTACAATACCTGCTGAAAATTGCACCCCCTGTATAACCCTAACTTGTTCTGAGAAAGGAAGGGATGCATTGCAGGTAATAGAAATATCAGCCTACCTCTGCTGGATAATAATAATACATCCACATGTAACTTTTTTCCCTACAGCTCTATAGCTGAAAGGTAGTTATCAGCACATACTTTCATTCGATTGACTTTGACACTGCATACATCCATGCTTTGTCAGTGAATTTGACATTCCTTTCCACATTTAAAGGGGAACTATGGCCATCTCAGAATTCATACATGTTATACCTAGGGTCTAAGACAAAAAATAGAAGTGAACCTGAACAACTCGTGCAATTCCAAAAAGCTAAAGTGCTAAAACACAAATTTGTGACACAGAGCAGTATATGGGTACATTTTCTGTTTCACAGGGTTCCCACAGTCATGAAAAATCTTGGAAAGCCATGGATTTTCATTCCTTTTCCAGACCCGGAAAAGACATTAAATTAGTAAAAAATTACTGAAAGTTTTGAAAAAGTCATAGAATTGTATTGTGTACAATGAAATTAATTTTAACTAATCTTGTGAGCAGTGATCTGTGGTTAAACTTCCATGTGATATAACAAAACAGCAAATGTATTTTCTGTAGGTTAATATGCATTATTGTGTGATGTTTTGTTTACCATCACGTTTCATTAAAATGAAACCAGAGTGCACTCCCATTATTCTAATGGTAACCCACATGTTAAATGAGTCCATATGTTGATTTGCACAGAGACACTTCACAATAAATGCATTTAAACAATATTAGTTAAAAGTTCAGTGTCCGCTGTAGTCAGCATTGTGTTGGACAGCAAAGTGCATGCATTGAAAGTAGACTATTGATAACTTGTATTCAAAGGCTTATTGGATATATTAATTCAAAGTATATTGACTGGCTATACCGACAGGCTTAAGAAGTGCATGCCTACATTTTTTTCAGCTTGCAAAAATGAGTTTAGAATCTAATGCACTGAGTACACACTGACAGCACAGTTGGTTCAGTTTTCCATAATGCTTGAAAGCCAGTGCCAGACTGATATATGTGCTTATAAAGCTTTTTAAAAATGATTATTTAAAGGGCAATGTATTGCCTGTGCCTGTAGTTTGAAGTAGCTGAAGTGACTGTGAACGTAACTATTAGAGGTTGGCGAAGGATGCTGTTTAACTTTCATGCAATATTTAACATTCGGTGTAAAGTTCTGGTCATGTTACACGTTATGGTCATGGAAATTTTATTATGGGTCGTTGAAAAGTCATGGAAAAGTTTTGACATATTGTCCTTCAAATGTGTGGGAACCCATGTTTACGATCTGATAACACTCCAATAGAATAAAACTCATTTGGATATACAAAAGAAAACACATACTATGGGCACACTAAATCTGTCGCCATTCACTGTCCATGGAGCAGCTCCAGACTTTATACTCTATGACATCACAAGTTTGAGACTTATTTCCCTTGGTTATGTTCATGAATATTGACTGAATTTTACTTATCTTAGGTGGTGCTCCCCTTTAAAACCCTCATGTTTGAGTAACAGTTTAGTGTAGTAACTGTCTGAGATGCTTAAAAACAGAGAAAAATAACCTAGAAAGAGTTTGTCTTCAGAAATATTGCGAGATTAATCAAGGAAATCTTACAATTTTTTAGTCCTTTTAATGAAATACTACCTCCACTGAGTCAAATAAAAGATTGATGGCTCATTCATCACCACTGATTGACCCCACAAAGATTATATTGTTTTTAAACAGTGGGCTACTTTACAGTACAAATCTTTACCATGTCTGGTGGTTTTTGAGGTGTATGCAAGTCTCGTTGGCAGGCACAACTCGGCACAGTATAGTCAAAGGCCATCACCGCCTGAAACTGAAATTAACACCACTGTTTACCACAGCAGCATGTTGATTTTGGGAAGAAACCACAGAGAGTAGTTAGCTTCGCCTCTTTTCCACTCCGCCCCACTTTCATCGGGTTGCTAGGCGACAGTAGTCAGGTGACTGTCTGCAGACAGAATATGGCTGACCTGTCAGAAGACCAATGAGGGAAAGGCCAAATTTAGCATAATCGATCTTATTTTTTACGTCCTTTCTGACCACATTTGACCGTCGTGGGCAGCTATTGACCAGAGATACTCAAGGTAAGCACGAGAGCGCTCAAATTGTGGGTACATTTGTTCCTCCGCGTTGCTTGGAGCAGCTGTAGCTAACGTTGCTGTTGGCTAGCTAAGTTGAGCTAACCTAGCTGCTAGCCAAACAGTCCCCGCTTTCTCTTCCACTTCTGTTTGAATGTGAAAGCTAGCAGGAGAAAATAACATTTAGGCAACTTTATACGGACGCAACATGTCCTCCTTCCGCAAATTAGCAACTTTATTGCATTGTCAAAGCCATAACTCTTGGTTGTTGTAACGGAAGTGTAGCAGTGAAACTACAGTCGCTAAAGGAAATACAGTGTCAAGTTACGTTAATGTGTAATTTATCGTGTGGTATTTCATTGACTCGTTAAACTAAAGTCAATATCTACAAACACAGAGACGAGCTTTAACACGTTGAATTTCCTGTGTCATTGGTTGGTTTGTAGACGTGGTCTAATGACATGAATGTGACTGGACTCTGTGGGAAATGTCCTCCAATAGTAAGGGCTTAAACTCACCACACATACAAAAACATTGAGATGAGTGATTTCTGTATCTGGTTTACTTTACAGAGGGGAGGTATAAACCTTTGACCAGAGGGCAGCACTATATACTGCTTGTTCAGTGTGTGGCTGATTTATTTGGGCTCACTGATAGCCCTGACCCTGTGGAGGAATGCCACAGTCCTGTCACAGACTTCACTTTTTCTATGTCACACTTGCAATATTAGAGCTAAATACAGGTTGTCAGCAAAATCAGACAGGAAAACTGAGCCTTAGATTGTTTTCAGTATGTGCTACTTTCAGTATTTTTGCTGTTTGTAGTGTTTCTTAAGTATGTTAAGGATATATATCACCATCTGTACTGCTACAGTATCCAAGGAGTTGTTTGAAACTTGATTGTCTGTAGAGCAACCCCATTACTTGTTTCTAGATGATATTACCACAACAGTTTATGGTTTGGGCTTTGGCTATGTTGTTACAACTTGGCAGAAAACACTCTTGTTGGTATTTAAAGTCACCTCAGTGTTATTTCCTCCAACAAGCTTTTCTACTCAAACAGTCTCTCTGCTGCTGCTCTGCTCTTTACATCAAGTGGAGACTGATTAAAATATACAAAGTAAAACAGATATGATCTGTGTTATTACACCAGAAGAATAATTTTCTTTTAAGCTGGGTTTATCCCTTAATGATTTATGAATGTAAGGTGTTTAAAAGCCCTTCTGCATTATTAATTCCAATAATAACAACACGTGATCTGATTGCAGATGAGCGGGTTGCCGGAGGGAATAGCAAATGGCCCAAGCAGAAGTGAACACTTAGACAAAGATGCTCAGGTTTGGGAGAGACCCTGGACTCTTGAAGAGATGCGGCAGAGCAGTGCCAACTGGTCCTTGGCAGCCGACTCTGGGGTAAGTTGGAAAGTTTGTCCCCAGCTCTGAAAAAGGCCAAGTAATTCATCATCATATTTTCTTTAAAAGTCAGAAAAATGTTGCCCCAATTTAAGTAGTGGAGGAGATTGTGAAATGTTCTACTTTGCTGTAATGGAAGGAACTCTGCAACTGATGCTGTCGCCATAACATAACCGTTTTTTTGTTTCTTCACAGCTTTTCCTGTTTCTCCAAGACTTCTCCCAGAGAATGCTGTCAAAGACACACGATATTGAAAAGCAGTTGGACAGTCTGATCCGTGACACCAAGGCCACAGATAGCTGCTTGCACTCTGTCTTCAATGACTTCCTCATGCTTTCCAATACACAGTTCATAGAAAATGTAATGTATATAATTGAAACTTTTTTGTTCTACTTCAATTTTGCATTTTCTGCTACACCTTGCACAATTTAGTCTACTTGTTTGTGTACTTTTGAAACAAAAATGTTTCGGTTTATATGATATCAGTCTGGTAACAAACTTTTTGTCCTGTTACAGAGAGTGTATGATGAAGAGTTAGAAGATGCTATTCCCAAGGCTGATGCTTTGGATAAGCAGCCTGAGGTATAAAGAATTTCATCATTTCTGCTCCTAACATTTGATGACATGGTGTGCAACCCTGAGTGACCAACAAATATAAAACTGAAAAATGCTTTTCAGTATTATTATTTCAGGGGTAGTACAGCTGCAATACGTGGCACACATTATAAAAGTGAAAAGTTATTATTTTTTTTTTTTTTTGTTTTCGTTAAAGGAGAAGACTCGTGAGCAGAAAGAGGCAGAGCTAATCCCTAAGATGCAGGAAGCTGTAAACCACGGTCTGAGAGTGCTGGAGTCGGCCTTTGAGCATCTGGACATCAAAGCGGGAAACTCTGACTCAGAGGACGAAGAGGTCACAGACAGAGTGGAGGCCATCCTGGAGCCCAAGGTGTGCTCCTAATCTTGGAGCAGTACTTAATAATTACTGCAGAAATGCATGTGATAGCACATCTTTACATGAATATAATTTATCCTTTGTGTCTCTTTTTGTCCTTGTCTTTTAGGATCTTTATGTGGACAGGCCGCTTCCGTATCTGATTGGTTCCCAGGCCTTCATGGAACAAGAGGACGTTGGACTCGGTGACCTCTCAAGTGATGGTAATATACTCACGGCATGTCTTCAGGCACTCCCTCATTATTCTCCTTATTTTCCCTCATGTATCTCTATGATTGTCTTTGCAGAAATGTCAGTCGACAGTGACAGAGACAGCGTCATTGAGAGTGAAGATGGCAAAGAAGAAGTTGTAAGACCTTTTTTCCCTTTTCTTTCACAGTATTTTTCAAGGACTTGTATTTTACATCTTGCACAGGAAATATAAAACCTCATTGTATGTGTTGTTGTATTTAACAGCATTCAGATGACGACTTTAATCAGGAGGAGGATGAAGGTCACAATAATATCAGGAAGGTAAGCTTAGCCACATGCCTGCCAAAACAAATCAAGAGACTGAAGAGCATTGAAGCAGACAACTTTAACATTTTGGATTTCCTTCCCACACTCACCTAGAAGTCATCCATGTTGAGTTATGACGATGATGAAGAGGAGGAGGATGAGGATTCTGACATATTTGGAGAATCAGACAGGGATGACGATGATGAGGACACAAAGGTATGTCTGTTATAACTCTGTTCTAGTACTTAAAGGGTATCTTGAGAGTTATTAGTAATTTCAGTGTAAAAATCATTCAGATACGGCACTTAGCACTAACTTTTAAAAGTAGCTGGAAACCAGGCATCAGCTTTTGATAGCAGAGACTAAAAATATGGTTGCCTATTTTAGTCACCTTTATATAGTATTTTGAGTCATTAGGATTAGTAATGAAAATGTGAGATGAAAGAATGTTTAAAAGTTTTAATGCAGTGACTGAATGAAATTAAATGTTTATTTTGGGGTGCACGTTTTGCTGTTTGCTGTGATTGACAGTTTTTATCAAAATGGTTGCCAGTTGCAACCTGGCAACCATTATTGCAAGCCCTGAGATAAAATATTTGTTAATCTGGTTGTTTTCACGTCACATACAGAACACAGGCTCATCGTCTTTTGCTGATGAGCTGGCAGCCCGAATCAAAGGCGAACCAGTCAACAAACCAGAAGGAGATCGCGCATGTAAGTCACTGTCATTATCAACCAACTGGCAGTATATCATCTCACTTTGTTACTCCCACTCTTCACATTTAATTTAAGGAAAAGAAAGCATCACGTTTTACATTTGAGATTTAAGCAACAACATCGTCGCATGTGCATGTTCATGGCTTTTGTGTTTCTACCATGTCATGTCTTGGAAGCATTGGCATCTAAGAAGAAAAGTAAAAGCAGGAAAGAACCAAAGCCTGCAAAGCCACAGGGTAAGACTTTCATTCATCATCAAACTTTTTTATTTTGTTTTGAGTTCGTTATTTCTACAGTGGGCCCATTGTTACCAGTATGCTCCTCAATAATGTTTCTGTACATTGTTACAGCAGCTGAAGAGGACAGTGATGACATGTTTAAGCCACCGAAGATGGATGATAATGATGACTTCTCCCCATTTGGAGGGAAAAGTGGCCTCTTCAGTGGAGGGAGAGGCCTGTTTGACGATGATGATGAGGTAAATCAAACTAAATGATTTTCAGAGCTGCCTCCTATTCAGTCCCATAAACTCTGGACTTCGGCCAGAATTTGATTTGTGCTCTATTATGTTGTGCTATTCAGGGCGATCTTTTCTCTGAGGCGCCAAAACCTCCTGTGTCCGAAGAGAAGAAGGTACGAAATGAAAGCACTAAAAGCACAGCTCAATCTGCAGGTAAGACAAACTTTCAATGTTTTTATTTATATGTGCAAAGACATGTAAATAAAATGGGTACACACAGAAGAAAGTGGACTGGCAGATTGACACATAACTTTTCTTTGCCATTCAAGAGTCTGACAAACCGGGAAAGAAGATTCCAGCAGGGGCCGTTTCAATATTTCCAGGTAGCAGCATTTATTTGTATGACAGCTGATATCAACTCCTTGTCTGCTTCATCGTCCTTAACCAAACCAAAAACCCTTTCTGCCCACAGATAATAGCCTGTTCAGTTCAGGGAATGACTCTGATTCAGTGGGGAGCAAGGAGAACGGGACTCCAGCCCCTAAGACCAAACAGGTTCCTTCAGGAGCTGGTGTTGGTGGAGGAGGCGGTGGGCTGTTTGATGATGAGGATGAGGATGATGATTTCTTCAGTGATAAAAGCCTGAAAAAGTCTGACTCAGGTAAATGTGTAAGAATTGGCATTTCAGTGCTACAGTCCAGGTTCAGGTGGGATTCACACCCACAAAACCCTCCATTATTGGTTGTTTTACCCTCCTTTTCAGCTGGACAGCAGAAACCCAAGAAAGCTATCGACCTTTTCGATGAAGACGATGAGGATGGAGACATATTCAGTGAGAAGTACAGTGCACCGGCTCCAGCTCAGAGCAAGAAGGAGGTAGCCGAAGAGCAGGTTAAACAACCTGAGAAAAAGGTAAAGATCAACCTTTTAAGTGTCTCAAAAGTTGAACACTTTGGTGGCGAGTTCTCCTGTTGATGATTCATTGTTTTGTTTAGATGCCGGCAGGCGCCATCTCCATGTTTGGACCTGGGACTCAAAGCTTGCTCAGTGAGGGCTTGAAAAAACGCCAGCCGTCTACCAGCGAGGAGTCTGAGAAATCTGAGGAGGTCTGAATGGATCTTTGTCTAACAAAAATACTCCTGGCAAAATCTAATTTGTTGTGTTTTCACATGCAAAATGTCAGTTTATCGACCAGAAAGGAGCAAAAGGTTTTGCACTGCCTCCTAATACACCGTCAAGACCACAGTGCATTTTCATTATTACCTTCAGAGTTCTACAAGCTTTAATGTAACTTTTTGTTTTGAGGTCATGACCCATAAGCTTGTTTATCTTTCATGGAAGCCATTAAATGAAAAGACCTAGCTGCAGTCAGTATATTGATGTTTGCTCAAAGTGCCATATTCAAGTGCAGTCTGAGAAAAGGCCAAATTCGATTCAGTTTGGAGTGCACTGCTGGCCTTTACTCCTGTTGACACAGTTCAGTTCTCTTTGCTCTCTGTCAGATTTTTCTTTCAAGACTAAAACAACACACTTAAAGGAGTTAGAATTTACAAAGCTGTCTTTGGTAAATTTTTATCTTTGTGATGTGTATTTCAGAACGGGCCAGCTCCAGATGCTGTGAAGACTGTTGTCAAGCAGCCTCAGAAACCCCAGACCAGAGGCCTCTTCTCTGATGATGAAGACACACAGGTAAAGTTCTCAAACTTCACTGGAGAAAAAGTGCCAACAGTAATAACACATTTTGATTACTCTATACATATGTATGTTTTTGCTATCCAAAGGAATCTCCAACCATCCCTAAGAGCCACTCTAAGCCTGAACCTACAAGCCAGGGCAAAACCAGCAAGGCTCCTTTGTCATTATTTAGTGATGAGGAAGAAGAGGTGGGAATGATGAGCTAATATTTCACACACTCGTCAAAACGGAATTAGGTTTGGCTTGTTATTGCTGTGAGTCTGTTACAATAATCTGGTTGTTCACCTTTGCAGGATCTGTTTGCATCTGCAGCTAAATCTACAGCAAAACCTAATACAGCTAAAGCCTCCAAACCGCAGCCCAGTAAGACTGTGTCCAGCTCGCTCTTCAGTGATGATGAGGTAAGTCAATATGACAAGTCATATTTTAGTGTTGCTAACTCTTTTCCAATGGAAGTAGTGAGTAAAATCAATCCAGTCTTTTGCATATTGGTGACGCCACCATGCATTCATTTGAATATAGGATGCTGAATTAGATTCAATAGAGAAAAGTCCTCCAAAGCCAGCTGAACTCCCACCTTTGCAGCAACCAAGGTCTCCTCTCTGAGAGGAAAGAGGGGGAGACACTCCTTGCTGATGGTGGAGGAGCTGTGGACTGCTATTAGCCTAAGCAGCATGCATGGGAATAAATTACAATACAGTGTACTTCTCGCTTTTACCCTGATGGATTGAATAAGTCTTTAAATTAGTAGCTAGCCACTTTTTAGAAACAAGAGGGTCTGAAAAGCTGCTAACTTTGGCGAGAAAATTGTCAAGTTTGCAACACTGCATATTTCACTGCTGCATACTAATATTTAATAGAGCGCACAATATGATGCATTATTTTCTTGCATATCTGAATGACAGGATCAGTGGTTGAGTTCTAATAGCAGTGTGGGGAAGCCAGAGGTCAAGACCCCAGGGATGAAGCCCAGTGCCAGTGCTCCCTCCAGTCTCCCCAGTGCCAAAATATCTAACAAAAGCAGCCTCTTTGATAACGATGACGGGGATGATGATGACCTGTTTGCTCCAACAACAACGTCAAGGTATTTACAATTTAAGTTTTTTTTTTTTTTTTTTTAAAAAACCATGCCAAAACCTGTCTGTGCACTGTCGCAATTGTGTTGCACCATAATGCACTGTTTACACGCCTCAGTAACTCATCAGTAGATCAGCTTCAACTAGTACAGAATGCTGCAGCTCATATTTTAACTGGGACAAAATCATAGGTTACAAATCACCCAAATTTTTGCCTACTGCCATTGGTTGCCTGTTAACTTCAGAATTGATTTTAAGATTGTTTTAGTAACATAGAAAGCTCAACATGGTTTAGCCCCCAGTTACAGTATCTCACATTAAGTGAGTACACCCCTCCCATTTTTGTCCAAGACAACTGTCCCTTGCTTACAGTCAAGTATAGTGGTGGCAGCATCATGGTTTGGGGCTGCATGAGTGCTGCCACTACTATACTTGACTGTAAGCAAGGGACCGTTGTCTTGGACCCAAAACACACCTAGTAGATGACAACTGTCTTGCTGAGGAAGATGAAGGTGAAGATGATGGACTGGCCAAGTATGTATCCAGCCCTAAACTCACCTGTGCACCTGTGGG